TTCCGAGTGTGGTGACAGTGTGTCGTTGCGGCACGGGAGGCGCCCTTTGTTTGCTGTGAACGACCAGACTACATTACAAATGAATATCCCGCCCTAGGCTGTCGGAGTGACAGAGATCATGAACCAGGACGTGACTTTGACGAGAGACCACTACGACCTAGAACTGCAGCAACGTTCCGGCGGGCCACACAACGACAACAGAGCAAAACAGAACATGCTGGGACCCAATCCGGCGATGATACAGCGCTGCTTCGGCGACATGGAGGCTCAACAGCTGCCTCTCGTGCTGATCCATGACGGCGGGGGAACCTGTTTTGACTACCGCCTCTTGGAGCGGCAAGGCCGTGCAGTGTACGCGATTCACAATCCTCGCTTCCGCAGCGGGCGGCCGTGGAAGGGAGGGATCCGAGAGATGGCAGGGGTCTATGTCGAGCTGGTGAGGAGCCTGATGCCCCAGGGTGGCGCCATCATTTTGGGTGGGTGGTCGCTGGGCGGCATGGTGGCCTTGGAGATGGCCAAGGTGCTCGAGGGGGATACCGAGGTCGGCGTGGCCGGGGTGGTCATGGTGGACAGCGTGGCCCCAAGCGAGCAGGGCGGTCCGACCCGCTCAGCTGCCGAGGCGTGGCTTCCTAATCAGATACGATTACCCGATCTAAGCATGTCGTGTCCGGCCGAGATTCGCGTCGGGGTGTTTCGGTCGCTCAAACAAGCATCAACGCTCGTCTCAGCGTGGACGCCGCCGACATGGGACGTTGGCAATCCATCGGTTTGGGTTCAGGGCGGCGTCGAGGCTAGCGCTGGCGAGCACACGGTGCCCTGCACCCCCGATTTCTTGGCAGCGTCGCCGCGGCTGCGAGGGCCTTCCTTGGCAGCTGACGATGGCGATGGCGCTAGCGGCCGGAAGTTGACGTTGGATCTGACAACGACAGAACGGACGAGAGGCAAACGGCAGACCAGGCGGCGACCCATGGTTGTCCTCTTGCGAGCGATGGGACGAGTTCCCTCGCCGCGCGGGGTGACGAGCCGCGTGGGTCTGCAACGGCACGAACGGCTGCTGGGATGGCAGAGGTG